GTGGTACATATACACAATGGAATACTATGCAGCCACAAAAAAGAACAAAATCATGAATTTTGCAGCAACCTGGGTGGAACTAGAGTCTATAATACTGACTGATCTCTCACAGAAACAAAAATCTGAGTATCACATGTTCTCACTCATATAGTGGACCTTGAACATCCAACATAATACTATAAGAAAATGACTGACAGTGGTGGGAAACTATGGGGCTGGGAGGGGAAGGGAGATAGGATTAATGGTAGTAAATATCTGTCTGGGGACGGGGAGACACCTCTTATCAACAAGGGTGCCTGAACAGAGCATATTTGTATACCTAACCCTTAACTGTACCCCACAATATCATTGAAAAAATTGATTAAAATAAAAAAAAGAACTTTACATGGCTAGCTGTACAATTTCTACAAATCAATGCTCATAAGCTTCCTATTGATTTGTGAATGCATGTGGGAAGAGAAGAAAAAAAAGTGGGAAAAGGTGAGTCTGATTTCCCTATAAACAATGAGAAGCTGAGGGACCTCTCCCTGTGTCTGGGTTGGAGAGAATATTGACAAAGATTGTAGGTGAGGTGTTGCAAGGAAGTCCCAAAAGGAACAACCTGCCACTTTCTACAGAAATACATTCATGCTTATAATGTAAGGAGGACAATACAGAGTAAAGAAGAATTTCCAGTAATTGAACTGGATGATCTGGTGTGCAACACTTATCTATACAGTTTACCTGTCATCTGTCTCTCCCTTCTTCCCTCCCTTCCTCCATCCATCCATCCGTCCCTTTCTCTTAATCCTCATTTCAAATATCCATTCACCCATCCATTCATTTCTATGATTAAAATAGTGACTCTTTGTTTCAAAGAATAAAAAAAATTACTTGCCACTCAAAGATTCTTCTATATAAATATCTGTGCACTTCATCATTTCTTTTTGATAGTCTTAAGGTGGAAACCAACTGATAACTTGGTATGACTTTTCTTCCTTTTTAAAATCTAACAAAACAGCAATAGGTCAAAATGTTAAATATGACACACAACATGGTAACACTAGCATGATAATATCAAAAAGTGCTTATTTCAAATATTTTATATTTATTTGAATTTGCTTTTTTAAAAAGTTTTTTCATCTTATTTTGTTGCTTTTTCATTCATTCAATTTTATAAACGGATAACATTTACCGAACCCCCTGCAATGATTCAGAATTAATTTTCAATTTAAGATATAGAAACTTCCAATAAAAACTTTCATATAAAGAATAGCTATTTGTCTTATTTTGAAAGTGAGAAGACAAAGGATAAACTAAAGATAATCTGTTAAAGTCGCACACATAGAAAGTGGTAAAGTTTGTATTTAAATATAGTACAGGTCTCCTTGACACTAGAATTTCTGCTCTCTCTATTTTAGATACAATTCATTTTAATTTTTAAAGTGATATATGCAAATAAGGTTTTGATTCAGTCAAAAAGTACTCAAAGGCTTAATCAAAAGAGTAATCCCTTACATCCCTAATTACTAACTTGGCCTCTCACCCATCACCCATGTGTAATAAAAAGTCTGACTCTATTTTTGATATTTGTGTCTTGACAAGTTTGAAGCTCCCTGTACCCTTCTGTGTTTCATCTGGACAAACTGATAAGAAAACCCACACATACTTCTCTCCTTAGCCCTGGCAAGAGTTGCAAATCATGTAAGTTAAGTCCTTGGAAGGAAACCAACTCTAACCAGTCATTTCCCTCTGCTCTCTAAAGCCTTTTTTTATTCCCCCCCCGATTTGCTTTGGAGCCTGTCTTGCACTTACAAAAAAAAAACCTCATTCAATGAGTAATAAACTTTTCATTACTTCTTAGTACAGTGTGCCTTCATCAGAAGATACCCAACCAAATTTTGTATATGATTTGGAGGTAGATTAACACATGGTTTCACACATTAAAACCCGCATCCTCATTCTTACTGAAATTACAGACTCTATCCAAGTATCTCCTGGTAGATAATCTGTAATCATAGATTTGCTAGGATGTTCTGCTCAGTGCCTATTGCAACAGGCTCTCAACCCCAGTGCGTGTTTACCTTGGAAGGAACAAAACGCACCATTAGGTGGATACCCACATATGCTTTAACAGCCCTACTACTGCCCACAATCTTTACCAGCAAGATCCACTGCATCCAGCTTTCTCCAGGAGTACAGATATGACATTACATTGAGGATGTCCTCCTCTGGGAAGATTCATTTGTCATACTTTTCAAGACATAGAAACACTCACAAAGGTGCTCACAAAAGGAATTAGCCTTTGTCTCACACCAAGCACTAGGCCAGTACTTCAATTAAATCCCCCAAAATTATTTGGTCAGTTGAAGGCCTCTCCATCCCTGACACTATCCAGAAATAACTAATACGCCTCCTTTACACACAATGTTACAAACTCAATATTTTAGGATTTTTGAATTCTAAAAGCAATATAGTCCTCATTTATTAATTTTACTTAAGCTCATTCGTGCTTATTACTTGAAAATCAGCGCATTTGAATAGGGTGCCCCATAATAGAAAGTTCTAGAATCTATTCAAATTGCAATACAATAGGCTCTCCCATTAGTGCCCTCCAGAGTAACCTTCAGTGTACAGGCTTTAGCCACCACCTCTTATGCTTCCTGTAGTTCACTTGACCATCTCTTGTGGCTGTCTGTACTGGTTTACTATTGCTGCCATAACAAATTACAACAAATTTTAGTGGCTTAGCACAACACAAATGTATGATCTCATAGTTCTGGAGGTCAGAAGTCCAAAATGGGTCTCAATAGAATACACTCAAGGTGTGAGTAGAGCTGAATTCTTTCTGAAGGGTAAAGAGGGCATTCATTTTCATTACTTTACCAGCTTCTACAGGTTACCTGCATTCCCTAGTTCACAGCCCCCTTTCCAAAAAGCAATGATATCATTCTGATTTTTTTCTTCCATCATCTCTTCTTCTCCTCTGTGTCACCTACCATCTTCTTTTCTTTAAAAATTCACTTGTTTTATCATTTATCTCAAAATGATAATCTTTCTATCTCTATACCGTATGCTAACCATATCTGTAAGGTTTCTTTTGTCATGTAAAATGGCATATTCATAATTCCAGGGATTAGGACATGAACATTTTTGGATAAGCATTATGTGCCTAGCACAGTCTGCTCTCTGGAATCCAAACATTCAAGCACATTTCACATTGCATGAAAATGTATTCGCTCCATCTTAACAACCCCAAAGTCACAAATAATTTCACCCATAGACTCTAAGGGAAAATCTATCTAAAGCTCATCAGTTCACAAGTTCCAAACCAAATCATCCAAATAATCCAGGTCTGGTGTGGGTAAGAGTCTGAGTATAATCCATCCAGAAGCAAAATTATTCTCCATCTGTGGATCTATGAAACTAGGAAAAGAGTGATCTACTCTCCAAATTTAAGAGTGGAACAAACATAGGGTGCTACTTATAGATACTATCATTCAAATGGAGATAAAAACAAGGGTTTTTTTTAAACAAATGGACGTGCACAGTGGCTCATGTTTGCAATTTCAGCACTTTGAGAGGCTGAGACAGGAGGTCACTTGAACCCAGGAATTTGAGACCAGCCTAGGCAACCTTACCTCTACAAAAACAAACAAACAAACAAATAAGTCAGATGTAGTGGCAAGTGCATGAGGCCCAGCTATCTGGGAGGCTGAGACAGAAGTATCCCCTGAACCTAGGAGGTCAATCTGCAGTGAGCCATGATCATGCCACTGTGCTCCAACCTGGGCAACATAGTGAGACAACCCGCCCCCCACAACTGAAAAAAAAATGAGTTACCAGTCCCAGGGAATTTTGATACCAATGGAGTAAATAAAATTAAATTTTTTAGGGCAGGAAATAATTCTCTGGTTTGCAGCTCAGCCCTTTGAGCTTGAAGATCTGCCACTGGGCTCACCATTTCACCCTCAGAGTTAAACTTCTTCTTCATGAAGGGTAGCAAGTAGTTACTGCTGAGTAGTTTATTATTCTATTTCCTACATATAGAATTTGGAAATCCACTGGCCTTCTTTCCTATCAGTTTCTCTAAGTAACTTTCAGTCCAAACTGGCAGTGCTACTACTGGTATAAAATTCTTGGGTACTTTTTGTATCTCTCATGTATGTCATGGGAATTCACTCCACTACACAAAAGGCTGTTCCACAGATTCTTACTAAACAATTTTATCTCTATTTTTGGCTTCTACCATTGTGGATAAAAGGACTCATGAGTCACATGCCTAACTGCAGGAAAGTTCTCTAGGTGACCTTGGCCTTATCCCATCTTTCTCCTTTATAGTTCTCAGGAAAACTGTAGAAAGTGCTAGGAATGTGGCACTAAGGACTAAACTCTGACTTTTCATCCTTACATTGCCAGATTTGGAGAGGACAAGTTTTTTTGTTATTATTATTATTAACTCTCCCTATATAATGTTTACTTTCCAACCAGACTCTGGCATAACAGATAAAGAAGGTATTTTGTCTCTATAAAGCCGTCTATTGGATACTCCTGGACTCCGGGCACATTTTAAAACAATTATCACCTCTTTTCTCTAAAGTCTTTCACTCATGAGTCTTCATCTACATACCAAGAATCTTGGGCTGCCAGTTTCCTATAGTGATTTCAAAACTCCTTAGGTAAGAGCCTTAATTTTGGTACTAATTGCCAGTTGGGAAATCTCTGAATCCACCTATAACCTGCAAGCCATTGCTTGGAGATGTCCTGCCATCCCAGGCAGAACCAATGTAAATCTCACTTGTATTGATTTATGATTTTCTGTAACTTCTGCCCTCCTAAAATGTATATAACCTAGCCACAATTCAACCATGGCAAGCACAGGACCTCCTGGTAACGTATGTGAAGGGGCAATGTAACACATTTGTCACACATTTGGCTCAGAATAAACCATTGTAAATAATTTGCAGAGTTTGAATACTTTTGTCAACACTGAGATAAAATGTGTAATATCTGGGATCTGTTACATTCCCCACTAGAAACAGAATGTCTTTCAATACTTTGGCTCAGCATGTCATGCCTCCCAGAGGTAGACAACCCAGGGTGATCTGCTTTTCATGGTACTTCATGTGCAGAGCAAGTGGGGCATGCACGGTTCAGAGATCATTCCCCCCAGGCAGCTTTCTGAGACTTGAGAGACAGGTTCACTATGAATTAAGTCCTTCTGTTGTTCCTGGATACCTATCTGCAAGCCATAAATTCACTTCATGTCCCCTGCTGCTTATGCCAGTGTTCTGTCTTTCTGGACTCAGACAAGTTGCTAACCTGCACACAGTGAAGCTACTTCATGCTAATCTCATCAATGAGCGTTCTGTGACTGAATACTCTGAACTTTTATTCCTACAGAGACAATAGCAAAAGGCTGTCCAGCTACACAAATGCTTTTCTCTATAAGAGAAAAGGATATACTGCTTTCCCGACATTGATTCCTCTAATTTTAGAATCTTGTAATTCTAATAGGCTGAGAATGTTCCAAACCATAAAGTCCTGGTTCTTTTTTTTTTTGGCCTGATAGTTATTTCTAACTGTATTTCTTTTCTCTCACATTTCACTATACTCAACAAGAAGTATTTAACATCCATATTTCTACAAAAAGTCTGTTTATGATGTTTTACAATAGTTTCTTAGACGGTATGGATTTTTGCTACAGTGTTCCCTACCTTCTTCTGAGTCATCACTACCAGAGTCCTTAGTATCCACATTCCTACTAACAGTCTCTTCATGGCAATCTGGGTTTTCTCTGTTATGCTCCTCAATATTCTTCTAGTTTATAACCCAATCGTAATAACCCAATTGTGATTCCAGACATCAGTGAGAGCAGTAGAACATGTGAGTATTAGTAACCTTTGCTTCTTCAGTGTCTCTGTGGTCTTTATTCAAGTTGTAAATAAATAATTGCATGTGAATATACTCCCAAAAGAAGTGAACAAACTATACTAATGTTTCGACACACTGAACAGGACATTGAGTTATAAATAATAACACAATAACATGTTTACTTACATGCAGACCTCTATCTAAGCTCTAATTATGACATGAAAAATGAAAATGCTGTTGCAAAGCTCAGAGGCATCTATAATAAGGGGAGAAACGCTAAACTTAAACCAATAATAAAATAAAAGGTATCAATGAATTCCTTGAATTATTTATAGATTGTGGTACACATGTATTTGTTTTTTGTTTTTGTTGCTGTTTCATTTTTTGAGTCAGAGTCTCACTCTGTTGCCCAAACAGGAGTGCAGTGGCGTGCTCACAGCCCCTGCAACCTCTACTTGCTGGGCTCAGGCGATCCTTCCACCTCAGCTTTCCAAGTAACCGGAACTACATTGCACGCTACCACACCTGGCTTATTTTTTGATTTATTGTAGAGACGGGGTCTCACCAAGTTGCCCAAACATGTCTTGAAACCCTGAGCTCAGGCAATCCTCTCACCTCAGACTCCCAAAGTGCTGGGATTACAGGCTTGAACCAGTTCATATGTATTTGTTAAAGGGTAGAGGGTCTGCAGCTTTTAGCAGTTTCTTAAAATTTTTTGAAATTGCCATATTTAATTTTTAATTTAATATTTAATTAAATCTAATTTTTAAATTTATTGTAACTATAATTTTTGAAATTAAAAAATAATTATATTTAAAATGTATATATGACAACTATTTAATCAGATCTCCAGTCAAGACTGATGCAAAGTTATATAAATGATGTTCAGAGAATATAAAACCTAATCTAAAATGCCATTTAAATGGTTTTAAACAGGGTCTCAAAAAGACATTTGTACATGCATGTTCATGGCAGCAGTGTTCACAGTAGTCAACAATGGATTAATAAATAAACAAACTATTCTGTATCCATAAAATGGAATAATCCAGTCACCCATAAAAAGGAAAGAAATTCTAATACATTCTATGACATGAATGACCCTTGAAGACATTATGCTATACAAAGCAAACCAGACACAAAAGGGCAAATATTGTATTATACCAATTATACACAGTACCCAGAATAATCAAATTAATCGAGAAAGAAAGTACAATAATGGTTACCAGCAGCTGAAAGCAGAGACTAATGGGGAATATCTATTTAATGGGTAGAGTTTCAGTCTGTGATGGTGAAAATATCCTGGACATGTATGGTACTGATGGTTGCACAACAATGTGAATGTCCCTAAAGCCACTAAACCATACAATTAAGAATGGTTAAAATTGTAGATTATACATTATATACATTTTACCACAACAACATTTTAAAATTTAAATGAAAAAAAATTTACAGAAGAAAAAATCATGTTCTGAACAATAACAAAGTCTGATGTTACCCTCAAAGTTTTATCATATCTCAATCTTGTTCCTCAATGATTATTGCTTTTGAATTTTTTTCTTTTTTATTGTAAAATATGATTCAATTGGTTTTAAACAGGGACTCAAAAGACATCTGTACACCCGTGTTCATGGCAGTGGTGTTCACAATAGTCAACAATGTTTTGTTTTGATTTGTTTTTTTGTCTTGTTTTGTTCTGAAGGTTTATTGCATGGTATACTGCAGAATGCTGGGTTTGATCTTTTCCCTGAGCAATATTTCCATATTGAGCAATTCACAGCTTAAAGTTCTAAATCCACTCAACTCTGTTAATAAGCAAATTGTGAGCAAATCTTTTCAGTTCACTGGGCTTTTGCTTCCTTTTAAGTCAACAGAAAATAGTTGACAGTATTTATTAGTTTCACTTTAGCTAAAATTCTGTAAATCTGATGACTCAATTAAGAACATTTGACATCACTATGCATAAACTCATGGGCAGCCATTTATTTTTCAAGAATGCAAGGGCATCTTAACAATAGATACTATCTTAGTTGCGTAAATACGGGTTCCCTAAGAAAGCTTTCTTAAATTTCAGATATCATCAAAAAAAGAGAAGTAATCTATAAAAAGAAAAATGATTCTTACATATGAGAAGTGTTAAATATGGCTGAAGACTTCTGTTCAGTGTATTTTTAAGTCACGTTATAAAATAGCACTTAATGAAGCAATTTGCCATAATGTCTGGATGGTTGCTTAGTATGGAGTAGAAGTCAGTAAGAGAGAAAAATAAGGGAGAAATGGAGTGTTGAATCCTGGTAGACAGAGCCTAAGAGGCTTTCTGACACTTTCTATACAATGTACACATTTTTCATTCTTTCAGTTGAATTCCACTTTTAAAAAACATGTTACTATGACTTTCTATGCAAAAGGAATTATTCTCTTTTCCCAGAGAAGAATAAATCAACCATTAGTGAGAAGAAAATACCTGACCCAAGAAGTCCTTCATGGGTAAGCATGGTGACATCATGACCATGTTCTTGAATAATCTGAGACACTTGGTCCATCAGTAGATAATGGCTTGCACCTAAGAGCAATGAACAACTTCAGTTCTGTAATTATAAGAATACAATGTCAGAAGTTTTATAAGTTGGTAGGTACAGAAAAGGAAGGGTAGGGAAACAGAGTTATAAGAGTGAGTAGAGGAAAATAATCTTTGTCAGTCTCTCCATCTCCCTCTGAATAACGCCACATCCACTCCAAAAATGGCTTCCTAAATCCAGAATCAGAGGCAATCTTTGATGAAAGATTGCCTCTGGTGACTTATGGTCTGCATGTCAGTGTGCTGAGCTTCTGTGTGCTGAGGCCATAGGAGTCCCTCATCTTAAAATACATACTAAACTTTAACCAAGGCTTTATGGAGACACAGAGTCCAAAACATATAACTGCATTGGTGAAAACAGAGGCAAGATACTGTTCATATGAGTATGAAGAGCTACCAACACACAATCAATGAGAGCTAGTTCTGAGATCCTGCTCTTTGAAAATGTATAATACTGTAGGAGATAGAAATACAGGAGTTAAAATAGAAGTGCAAAAAATAGTCATTGGAACAGAAGAACGTGGAGCCATTATATACAGCCCAATTTCTTAGGATTCTAGCATATTTGGAAAGAAGTTACTTAGGCCTAAACAATGCTCAGCTTATAATTAAAACATTTGAGGACAACAGTGGATCCTAGGGAGTGGGCCTACTGGATCCTAGTTGCACAACAGACTAAGGAATTAGTAATTCTCAAAAAATCCCACCATATTGAGGAAAAGAAGCTTGGTCCTCAAAAGTTACATGTTCCATGGCATCAGTGTCTTCTCTCAGGCCATGTTCCATCACATAGCCATTGCTTGGATCTAAGCGTTCCGGTAGTGGAGAAAGACAGATGAGAAGTTAATGCAAAATGCCAAGAATTTGGGGATGAGTATGTATGGAGAGTAGAAAGACAGTGTGTAGCCCTCTGATGAACTCAGTTTACTTATACCCAGACTTAAATAGCCTGAAGCAACAAGGGTATATAAAGTAAAAATCTCTTGTATATCTCTTGCTCCCATTTTATTCCATGTAGGAATAGGGAATTGGGAAGGAGGGGTCCTCACAGAAACAGAGATTCGTGATGGGTCTTGGGGAGTCAGATAGCAAAGGATTGGTGGATTCCAGCACTAAAGTAATTACACCAGCGATCTCTTAGAGTGTAAGGAAGGGGTGCAGTGAACTTTCAGACAGTAAGGACACCCTTTTGCATCATTTCTACTAACATTCAGAAAGAAAAAAGATTTCAAATGGATTTACATAGATTTTTTAAAATCACCAATGAAAAGGGCTTCAGAGTAGATTTTGTGATGAGGGTGGTCCTGGGCTAAGAGGCCCTGAGTCAGTACCTCATGGGACATTGGGGTACCTTACAAAAGGCACCTCACTCATCTGTCCCTCAGGTGATCTTCAGGAAATCAATATGGTGGCTGAATTAGGTGATCTGTGGCTCCTTCCAACTCTATGGTGATGTGATTCTCGGTGATCTGAAAGTGATCTAATAGAGCCCACTATGGGTTAAAATAAAGTCGTGGGGAAGCTCCAGCCTTGGTTGACCCTTTTATCATGATATATGTTTCTTTTTCATCTGCTATTCACTTTGAGATAAAAAAGAAATATAAATAAAAGTGAGCCCTAAAATGCAAAATTAACAGTCCCATGTGTCTTTCAAAGACTCTCAGCAGGAAGCTCCAAAGACCCCAATCACCTGGGTCCTCTGCTCAGCCCTGGGCAGTGTCCAGGTTTCCTCTGGTGAAAACACTCCCCTGTCCTCATTGTCATGAAATACCTTCCCTGATCCACCCTGACTCCACAGGCAGCTTCAGAAAATTTGCAGTGCTGTCCCAGAAGCACCTTTGTCTGGCCTCCAAAGCCTGAAAACGTTCCCCACAGTTTCTGCTGGAAGTTGCTGGGTGTGCCTCTCCCCTGGATTCTAGGGTGGCCTCTGAAAGTCCTGCCCCACCCTTGAGAAGAGGACTCAAGCTCCTGGCTCGATCTCAGACTTGTAGCCACAGCCCTACCTGATGGGGAGCACATCCTGAACAGGAGGAGAGAGGAAAGGATATTCTGTCTTCTCCAAAACTATTACCTCCACCCCAGCAGTAAACAGTCCCCTCTATCCCATAACTGTGTGGGTTTCTCCCTCCTCCAGCATGGTACAGAAGCCCAGTCTGGAAAACCACACCATGACCCACTGATCAATTGCTACTCTCTGGAGCCCTGGCGGCATGAGTATCCAGGACACACCTGTCTCTGAATTCTCATTCCTATAGCAACCACAGAGTCCAGCCTGGGCTGTGTGCCTTGCGCCAGCCTGAGGAATCCTGTGTGCCTCAGGGCACCAAAGTCACTGTGGGTTTGGAAGAGGTAAGAGAGGATAGCCTGCCAGTCTTTTTTTGTCAGTATCTCCTTTAGATAATCTACCCTCAAGCTACCAAACCACCAACAGTCAGTAGGAAGGGTCAATGAGCTGATCTTTGACCCTGCTCTGCCCATGTAGTCACAGCCCTCCCTGCCTGGAAAATTGTTACCATAAAATCAGGAATGAAAGGGACCTCAGTACATCAGGTTGATAACAACTCTTCCCTGAAGTAACCTGCCTCTCTCGTGGACACTGTCTGGATTTATGGAATTATTTTTCTAACTGTCTCTGATACTTCATACTGCCATCCTCACACCTAATTTCCACAGGGACCTGCTTAAAATCTCTGACTGGTGTCCCAAAATCAATACTTCTCTGGAAGAAAATTCCCAAAGGAAATAGATCTACCATCCCTGGATGCTATCTCTGAGGCCATTTTAGGAGGTAATGAGGGGCTAGTATCCTAACTCTGAAAGTCCAGGTCTGTACCTGGAGGTCTGAAATTCTAAAGCTGAGACGGTAATTATGAAGGTACATCCTATAATAGAACTGGGGGGGGTCTTCCTATAATTTCCCCATGCACAAGCTGAGGGCATCTTATAATTTTGTCCTCTTGTAATATCACCCTAGAGAAGGTGGGAATAGCTATAGCCAGTAGTCACTCTATCCTCAAACCAAGACTTGCTTCAGGAAAGGCTTTCAGTGCAACTCAAATCAGGCAGAGAAATCCTCCAGAGGATCATGTCTATAGGGTGAAGTAAGCCCTTGAATTCTGTCGTACTATCACTGTCTTCGGTCTCCAGATGTTATTTTTTATCTAAATTTAAAGCATTACGTTTTTATACATTTGTTCACTTCTCACATAGCCATGCCAATGTGAAGAGGGAGGGAAAGGTATGGGAGGGCAGAGGTTAACAGGGTGGCAAGGGGTTACATCACAAGGCTCCAGTCTATCTCTTATTCTTGTATGTTTCATAATGCATTAGCAAAATAAAAGACTTGATATCAAACTCTAAATTTATTCATTTATTCAACAATTGTATTGGTAGCTAATTATTATGACAGGTATTGTTTTGCTGGGCAGATAGATGCTAAACACGCTCATAAATGAAATGTATACTATGTTAATGGCGAATCCTACCAAGAAAAATCAAACAGAGAAAGCAATATGAACTGTCAGGTATTAGAAGTGTAAACATTTTAAATAGCATGATTCAAAAGAATTTTAAAATATTATGGGTGTCAAAGATATGTGAATACAAAACTGATAATAATAAGTGGTTACTGTTGCTTTGGAGAAGAATTGTCTTATTTATACAAAAACAAATGCCTTGTCTCTTATGGTTTATTATGACACATTTACAGAAGATGTCTTATGATATCTTGGGGATGGAGTGAAGGTCAGAAGTGTGTGGGAATCGAAGGAAAAGATAATTTGCCAGAAGTCAGTAATCACTGAAGCTAAATGCTGAGCTTAAGAAAGTTCTACTTATATGAATGTTTGAAATTTTACATAAAAATGTTTTTATATATGTCCTACTATGATTCCATTTTTCCTTGTTGTTATGGCAATGTTTGGTCTATGCATTTTAAGCCCATTCACTAAATGCATATATATTAACAACTACAGTTTCATATATTATACCTTCTTGGTAAAACAGTATTTTTCATTAGGAAAATGGCAATTTTGTCTCTGGTAATACGTTTCACCCAAAGTCTATTTTGTTTAATAATAATGACTTATTGTCTACCAGTTGAAAGACCTATCTTTTTCTATCCTTTTATGTTCAATCCTCCTGCATCCTTACATTTTAGATGTATCTCATGAAACAGAAAACTGCTGATATTTTTAAACTTGTCTGTCAATCTTTTATTTAAATGGGAGACATGAGTTTGAATCTACCATTTTTCTATTTCTCCCATTTATTCCATGTTTCTTTTCCTCTACATTTTGGCTTCGTTTGGAGACTTGTCTTAGGCCACTAAACTCACTTCATCCATCTTGTGTGTGTTGTTCTGTCTCACTGGACTCAGACAAACTGATAACAAGTAAGAGTTCGCCTGCTTCACAAGTATGATTTTCCTGGACTCATCAGCTGTCCACAAAGACCTGGAACAGGATTTCGGGAGGTTTTGTTACAATCTGGTATTTACTTTACTATGTATGGAACTCTATGAGTGATGGAGGATTTATTTTCCCTTCCTGTTGATCTGTATAGTTCATATAGTATCTAATTACATGCAGATTATGAGAGAGAAATTCCCTGTGCCATGCTCCATTTTGCCCACCTAATATGTATCTCAGCATTTTCTAAACCTTAATTGCAGCCAAAAGGAAGGAGAGTTAGTAAAGAGTAGGGTAGGTAACAAGGGAACAGTACCCATGAATGCTCAGATTAATTCTACCACTGTCAGAAAGATGAAAGTCCCCATTCTCTTACACATCCGTCCCATGCCTTAGTATAAAATGAAAAGGGAACTCATCTGCAAATCACATTTTCTACAGGACCTTAAATAGGTTCTGTAGAGAGAGGCAAGCACCTAATATGGAGACACACAGGGGTGTTTCTGATCTTGTCAAGCTTCCTGAGCACTGAACAGAGTATGCAGGAGAAGCAAACAGAAAACAAAAGGATTTGCCAATTGCCTTTCTTCAGTGTTATCATGACAAGTGGAGAGGGCAAGAGTAAAGGAAATAGACTGACAAGATCTGGCCATGGAAGCTGGTATGATTAGGCTCCAAGATTCAGAGAGAGGCATGAGAAGAAGAATAGACTTCCAGGCTGGCAATCTGAGGGTCAGTGGCACAAATCACTCACAGACAGATCACAACACAGTTCTTGCTGACTGGCAAATAAAGAAGGACAGGGATTACTGGTTAAAGAATTCTGCAACAGGAAGAAGCTACTGGGAGGACTTCGTAGCAAAATTAACAAGTAGATATGATATAGACAAAAGGGTTTCCAAAAATGGTGTAAGCCCCCAAGAAACGGTGACACAGCCCACCAAACATACCCCCTCAAGGTTGCATTGTCCTCAGGTCTCCTTCAGCTTCCTGGCCCTACACAGCCACCTGGTTGTCACGCCAAGCAGTTTCCCACAAAGTCACACAGTGCCCAGAGTGAGCCCCAGCGGGAACGAAAAGACATCAAACAGGTACTCCTCATGTTAGGGCTCCTGGAAGGCATAGGGCTTGAGGCGTGCCACCCCCCTGTCTGGAGGATGTGGTCCATTCAGCCCACCAGCCGCTGGGTGGGGCTCAGGGGTTGAGAGTGCCAGACCATGCTGGTGGTCACCGCTGCAGACTTGTACCTGCTAGCAGAGACACATACATACAAAATATGCATGAATAGAAAAGTACATATTGCACACTACTTACAGTTTATAGAAAGATCAAAGGCCAAATGTTAAAATATTCCGTTGAATTCAGCCTTATGAGGTCAAAATTGATTCTGACCATCATAGAATGAACATGTGAAAAATTCCCAAGTAGTACTTTTTCTTGAAATCCCATGACCTAAATGAAATTTAAAAATAATTTAAAATTAGCATATATTTACTACTTACTATAAGTCCTAGACCACCAAATCACTCTAACATTTTAAATTATCATATTATAAAATGTATATTACTTTTCCTTGAGCATGTGATTTAAATGTTTACAAAGTTTTCATGGAAGATAGCTAACTTTTGGCCTGTTAAATTGAAAAAAATGGAAATAGAATTTACTGGAATGGGAAAGATTTGATGAACAGGCTTACAATTGTTGGGAGTAGTCCAAAGTTGATATTTAATCACGTTATGTTAAAGATGCCTACTTGACAATGAGGAAAATACATCAATTAGGAAAGTGACATGAAATACTACAACTAGTGGTGAAGTTTGGTTTGCAGATACCAATTTGGAAATTAACATTAGTCTACAGAGAGAAGTTCAAGTCATGAAGCTGGATCAGAACACCAAGATATTAAATGTGGATCAGAAATTAGATGAGACTCACAATGTCAACAAGAGAACCTGATCTCCAACCAGGCAAAGTGGGGACCAAAGGGAGGCCCAAACTTTACCTGTACACTGTCCACTTGTATACCTAATCCTGAATTGTACCACACATCTTTAAAAAAAATATGTATTTTAAAAAAGAAAGAAATTAGATGAGACCTAAGGACCAAGCCCTGGGAAATTACAAAGTCGGAGTTTGGGAAGTTGAAGAGGGTCAGCAAAGGACACTGAGAAGGAGCAGCCAGTGAAGGGAGAGAATCAAGAGAGTGGTATCCAGGCCCTGATGTCAAGTGAGGTCCTTGTTCAAGGAGGAGGCAGTGATAAGCTACACTACTACAAATGAGGCTGAGGGTATAAGAAGGGTAAGAACTGAACAGGGATCATTGGCTTTAGCAATGCCGATGCTACTGGTGACTAGGATAAGAGCTGTTTTGCGGAGTGAAGGAGGCATCCTGATGTAGTCGTGGACAAATGGAAAAAGAGGAAGTGGTGGCAGAAAGTATGAATGACTCCTTTGAGTTGAACAGCCAAGAATAGCAGAGATTGGGATATGGCCAGAGGGGAATGTGGGATCAAAAATGCTTGTTGTCTTGTTTGAGATGAAGAATATTCAGTGTTAAATTTTCTGACTTTAGTAATTGTATTGTGGTTATGTAGGAAAATGCCTTTACTCATAGGCGACATCTGCTGAAAGTATGAAGGTAAAGTGTCATGATGTCTACAGCAAACTTTCCAAATGATTGTGCCAAAAAAAAAGGTGTGTAGATACGAGGGGAGACCCCCAAAAACTGGAATTATTTTTTGGAGGGTGGGCCCCTTGTAGTATCGGTTCCCACCACTAGGTAAGTGTTCTAGGAACCCATTAGCATCAGTGTACTAATAAGCATTGTTGTGAGAGGCTATGTTCGGCTTCAGCGAATTTTTTTGTTGTTGTTATTTCAAGCGTTTGCTCATTTCATGAGGGGTGATTTAAGAGTACACCTGCCCACACTGCACTGTTTAGCAGTTTTTGACCAAAAACAGTATGACCCCCTTGCCCTGCCCTCCCTATTCACCTGATCTCATTCTGAGCAACTTCTTGTTTCCCTGAATGAAAAAAGTCTTCAAAGGGAAATGTTTTGCTGATATGGAAGAGGTGAAACCAAAAGTGGCAAAAGCACTAAAAGGTGTCAAAATTGATGAGTTCAAAAATTGTTTTGAGCAGTGAGAAAAATGTCTCAATAACTGTATTGCATCAAACAGAGTACTTTGAAGGTGACTGAAGCTTAAACATGTAAGAATAAATGCACATTTTTTAATAAATAGATTCCAGGTTTTGGGGGTCCCTCTGTGTGTGTGTGTGTGTGTGTGTGTGTGTGTGTGTGTGTGGTGTG